GTTTGCAACAGTTACAATACAATGGTAAGTTATCATAAACAAAATCTTGAAAGAATTCAACAATCTTGCCCGTTTGTTTATCCACAAATTGCAAACGCAACTTCTCAGGTAATTTGTCCATTAAATCAAGAATCACTTTAACTCTTGCAGCACTAGGACGCGACTTAGTCTGGGTAGCTTTGTCTATGGCTATAGGCTTTCCAACAACTGAAGCTATTGACAACAAAGCCTTCATTGCAAAAAGCTCTGTTGGCAGATTAGGCAATGAAATCCAGACCACTGCTTTCGTCGTTTCTTCATTTACCTTAAAATCAAGGGACCATGGAAATATTCGGATTTGATGCTCCTTACCATTGTATTTGAAGTAGTTAACTGACCTCGCAAGTGAATTAACGAAGTCTTCATGTTGATCCACCCTGATAAGCAATTGTCGAGGTGCGAGTTGACCAATCAAAGATGGTCCTTTGATTCCGAACAGTTTCATCAGTACATTTCTTAATGCTATTAGATCTGGTGCATTTGGAGAGAGCTTCACTACAATAGCTTGGTGTAAACCTTCTTCTTTTGCGAATTCCATCCTTTCCTCCATTGGAAACTTGATTGTTGGGACGCCATGAATAATTTCAATTGGTTTCAACAATTTTTGATTCAAAGTAGCGGCTGCCTTTTGTTGGGACAATTGAGCAGCATACGTATGTTGTATGTTATTGGGTTGGTCACTCTTTACAGCTGCTGGAGGTGGTTCGCCCAAAGCTAAATGTGTGGGAGATAGATGCACGTTCATAGCTGCTTAACTGCCCATTGTTGTCGGTAAAGAGAAAACGAGAACTGAAGCTTTTGCGCTACAGTACCTACTACGTTTATCTTCAAATCTGTAGTAGATGGCTATGGATTTGAGGATGAAAACGATTGGGGATTGTGCGCAATGAGAAGACGCTTCTTTTGAGACCAATTTGGTGAATTTTCACTGCCGGAATATGGAGTTATGGCCGGTGAACTGTTGCGTCGCTACTGTTCATCGCAGCTAGAGAGAGAAAGAAGAGAGAAGGAGGAGCAAATCAGGTCAAGGGTTCAAACCTCCACGCTGTATACCTATTACGCATGTACGTAATTTTTATTTTTTACACCACCTTATATACACTGTTATACATATGTATGTACATTAATTATACAAGTATATACCGTAAGTATACATTGTTATGCAGTAAATATACACCCTTGAAGGCAAAAAGCCAAGCTCTTCTCTACCTTTATACACAACATAACCGTCTAAATTATACACATATCTACAAAGCATATGCATATACATTTATATAGAAATCATATACATATATACAAAGTATATACACATCATAATACGCTTGTTTTACTCCCTTTAAAATATTCACTGTATTAAACATGTGGCTCAGTTAACAACTAGTTAGATCATTCAACTACTCTTCTTCGATAAATCAATAACTAATCAAGACAAAATTGAACTAAACTAAGGAGCATGGCAATCAACACAAAGCACTTGAATTATCAACTATTCAGCTAACAAATATTAGGGTTTAACAATAACCAAATGAGGTTCGTAAACCACAGAGCGTGAACCCCGATGTCAAATAACCAACAGAATTATCTAAGACAACCACTAGACTTTGGACTTCGCTCAGTCACTATGTTGAAATTCGGCTCTTCATGTTCAATTGCTTGAGATAGTAAAGTAACGAGGCTGGAGCTTTAAGGTGGCTGCCAATGACTCGTCGAAAAAACTGATTGCCGGAGTGTCATACTGAAACCGATGCCAAATGATAGATACGTCTAAGATCTATCCATTTATGTAGGTTTTGTGTTGTAGAGATGAGTGTAGCTTAACGACTTTGAGAAGAAAGAAACTAGGGATTTTGGATATTCTGAAATTCGTCGAGATGGAGTGAGTTTTGAAGGTTTTGGGTTATGGATCTTGGTAGAGGAGAAAGAGATGACTCAATTCGTATAATTTGAAGGTGAACAGAGATTGTCGGCCGGCGGCGGCAATTTCCGGCTAGCGGAGATAGGGCGACAGACGGTTGTTACGTGGTGGTCTGTGGCGGCGGCTATTCCCGGCTCCTGCACAAGGGAGAGAAAAGTAGTAAATGAGCTAACAACTAAAATGAGAGGAAAGAAGGGAATAGGGCATGAGGATAGTCACGTGGGAGAAGTAGGGACTAGGGTTATACAAAAACCTGGCTAAGTGGACTAAAACGGGTAATAAAGTAGCAATTGGGCCAAAATTGGCAAACTAGATAGCTAGGGGGTATTGTGCCATAAATATTGCTATATTTAGCTCAAATCAGCCCAACTTTTAAATGGGTTGATTAGGCGGGTCAAAAGAGGCTTAAGTAAATAAATGTGAGGGTCATTAACTCGCCCAAACTTAGCAGAATGGCAGGTAATTTTTTCATTGGCTCGTTTTGCCACGCCTACGAGTAGGTATCTGCTAATATTTTACCAATATTTGCCAACACTCCGGTCAATCAAGAACTCCCATGTCTAGAAGATGAAGGTGGCAGAAATGAGGATGTTGAGATGGATGTGCGGGCATACGAGATTAGATAGAATTAAGAACATGTGAAGAGGAGAGGCACATATTGCCCAGTGAGGAGGTGTGAGAGGTTGGTCTTGGAGGGCTGAAGGGGAGGTGTGAGAGGTTGGTCTTGGAGGGCTGAAGGAGAGGTAGAAGTAGGCCGGAGAAGTATTGAGCAAAGGTAATTAGGCAAGACATGACGATGCTCCAGCTTCCCGAGGACATGACCCTGGATAGTAAGGTGTAAATGTTGAGAATTAAGGTAGAGAGTTAGGTAGCCAAGCGTTGTCCTTGCTCGTTTCAGTAGTTGTAGTGCATTACTTAGTGTTAGTCTTGTATTTTCTTGTTATTGTATTTTTGTTATTACTTGTTTTTTTCGCTTCAGTTTTTGATTGCAGTACTTAATGTTAGTCTTGTACGTTCACTTCGGTTTTTTGATTGGTTTGCTTTTGGCCGCTCCTTCCTTTTTTCTTTCCTGAGCCGAGGGTCTACCGAAAACAACCTCTCTGCCTTCTTAAAAGGTAGGGTTAAAGTCTGCGTACACACTACCCTCCCGAGATCCCACTTGTTGGATTACACTGGGTTTGTTGTTGTTTTTGTATTAGCCAACACTCCACATCTCCACATTCCATAGTTTGTTTGTGTTTTGACATGTAGCCTTAAATTGTGATGTTTTGATGCCCACAAGTTGTTAATTGTGGGCTAGTTTTGTCACGCCTACCAGTAGGTATCTGCTAATAATTTTACCTATATTAGCCAACACTCCACATCTCCACATTCAGTAGATTGTTTTCTTTTGACGACATGTAGCCTTAAATTGTGATGCTTTGATGCCCACAAGTTGTTAACTGTGGACAAAACAACTTAAGGAAATTTGAAGATGTCAGTCAATTTGTTTACATTTAAATTTTGTAAGATTGTGATTGAGAATCTCATCTTTGTTAATCTCCTTGAAATCATTATTCAATCCATGTCATTCACATATGTACTATCTTCCGTGGGTCCCTTGTTTAGCAACAGTTCCCCTCCCCACCACCACAAAAGAACCTAAAAAGGCCCTTTCCCTTTGTATACATTCAACTTTAGTATCTACCAGGATCAGAACTCCAAACTGTTTAGACACTCAAGGCCATGATTTTGTTACCCGTTGCGGAAGAACTGTAATATCAAACTTTGGATGCATACTGGCATTCAGATAAACTATGTAGTTGCTTAAGTGATTCCTTCTGGAAAGTAGAGCTGTAGGTACCTTGATTATCTTGTTAAGGATAAAACTTAATATACATCCTTCTAATAAATTCTATTTCACTTTAGAACACTGTCATGTGATTGTGGAGATGTTAGTTAATGAAACAGTTTCCATTCATATATACCTCTTGAAATGTGAGATAGAAGTACTTTAAATAAAGCAAGTACGTGGCGAGATAGGTTCCCTTATGGTTTACAATGTTACGCTTATGGCTTCATAACACTGACTTCCCTTATTCTGATTTTCTAGTAATACTTCTTTTAACCTATTTATCATCAATGTAAAAGAATCATGATCTGACTATTTTACCCTTTTAATCTATTCTTTGTTAAAAAAAACACATATAAAACACATCTTTAAAAAAAATCAATAGTTAAGCTGGAACCTAGGCATGAATTGTCATGATGTACGAAAGCAGGTGTGGCCGTGTGGGCTTGATAATTTATGCGTGAAATTGATGGAAAATTAGAAATCTGAGGCTCCTTTAACAAGATCACAGTGATACTTCTCCTATTAGCAATATTTTCATATCCCAGTAACCCTGTTGGCGAATAAGAAAATGGGTTTACAGAAGTTTACTATTTCAGGGATGTTGCTGGAGTCCTGTCGATGGGTGATTAGGATGATAATTCACATTTATTGCCACCTTCCTTTTCCTGAGGCGTAACTCATCACGGGCAGAGGATTCTTCTTCCTTTGCAAGGCTCAAAGAGCTAGGTCTAATAGTGATATAATTATGGAGGAGCAAGTTACTTGAGAATTTGAGCCAAGGATCTATCGGATACGTCCTCTCTATCTCTGCGAGGTAGGGGTAATGTATGTGTACACATTACCCTTCTTAGACCCCACGCTGTGAGAATATACTGGGTATGTTGTTGTTGTTGTAAGTGTTAGATAGTTGTGTATTATGTATATAAGGAGTCTAGTTCCACGTTGGAATAGGAGTAATATGTACATGTAGAGTATAGCTATAAATAGGACTTCTTGTATTATATTGTAAAGTAATATCAATAATATATTTTTCCGTGCTTTCTCACAGTAAGTACATGGCGAGAAATTTTAATCTTTGCATAGAATTAATGCCCATCTGAAGTAGTTAGCCAGCATGCTTCTTCCTGTCTGAAAACTGAGATCATGTTTCTTAGCATAAGATGTTTTAGGTGTGTTTTCTTCATCTGTTATTATTGTGTTGCATCAAAACAGGTTGACAGCTTACTTGGTGCTCGTGGTGGTTCGTTTGAGCACGAGGCAACTAGAAGAATGCGGAATGAGTTTATGGCTGCATGGGATGGCTTGAGATCAAAGGAGAACCAGAAGATCCTTATACTTGGTGCAACAAATCGTCCCTTTGACCTTGATGATGCTGTTATTCGCCGTTTACCTAGGAGGTATCATTCTGTTATTTTTTACTAAATGGTACTCTATAATTCCTAACCCGACTTTATATGCTTCCTCATTAATCTGGTGCATCACTAATACCAGATGCATATAGTATGGTTCCGTTTCTCAGAATGGGACTCATGTTAAATATAAACAGGATAAAAACATGTTTCGGCCTAGATGTAAAAAGCTGCTGATAAGTATGTGGTTATTTTTTAGGATATATGTGGACCTACCAGATGCAGCAAATCGCACAAAGATACTAAAGATAATTCTTTCTCGAGAAAATTTGGAGCCGGATTTCCCGTATGAGAATCTTGCAAATGCAACTGAAGGTTATTCTGGTAGTGATTTGAAGGTAATCGATTATCATGTCAAATTTTTATATGCTGGCATGTTTTTTATTTGTGACTTGTTCATCACCAATTTTTTCTTTACTCTGGCACCATCTGCAGAACCTGTGCATTGCGGCAGCTTATCGACCTGTTCAAGAAATACTAGAAGAGGAGAAGGAGGTGAGTCCCATTTGTAATTGGTCATTGCTGTGATTATATCTAGCAATTTTCAAGGACTGACATGTCCTTTGTCTTGGGTAAGTTGGCCCATAGTAATATACCCAAGTACGAATCTTATGATGCGGCACGAAAGGTACTGTAGTTGTGGTTGGTCTTAGATTGTTGTTTATTATTTCCTCCTTTTTCAAACCTTCAACTATGGTCTCTCATAGTGGTTTCAAAAAGTTTCCTCCAAATATTATGTATAGAGAGTACATTGTTATGTTTTTCCAGACCACGTAGCTACTGATGCAGTTTAGTGTTCTCATCCTGCGTGGACTTGAAAGAATTACCTTGAAGTAAAAAAGGTTCAACATTGACTTTGTTTTAAAATGGATGATTAAGTTTGGGCCAGCATATTTTTGGTGGCTATTCCACATGAGTTGAGTCAAAGAATTTCTTTTGTCCCCTGCACATGCTTTAACACTCTCCCATACTTCCTGTGGTTCAATTGGACTCAGTAGCATCTGGTTCTCTTCTGTGTTGATGGTGGGGCAGTCCCTTAAGTTGCACTGTGGTTGCCACTCCTCAGCCTCTGTGTAAAGGTGTTGGTAAAAGGCAACTATCTCTCTTTTAATATCTGCAGGGTTCTCCACTGTTTCTCCATTCACTTGTAGCTTGTCAATGTTGTTGTACCTCTTGTGTGAATTGGCAGTTCTGTGAAAGAACTTGGTGTTTCTGTCCCCTTCCTTCAACCAAACTGCTCTAGACCTTTGCCTCCATGGTATCTCTTCCTTCCTAGCATTTTCCTCAAATTTTATCAATAAGGTAGCTTTTTTGAATTTCTCTTCTTCATTCAGCATCCGCAATTCTTGTGTCTCTTCCAGTTCAGCTAGTTGGCCCAGCAAATTCAGTCTCTGCATATTCAAATTGCCTTGAGTTGATTTGCTCCACTCTTTGAGTTTCCCCTTCAGAGCTTTCAGCTTGAAGGCTAGGATATAGTCAGGTCTACCTTCACAGGAGAAAGACTCCCACTATACTTTAATTCTTTCATTGAATCCTTCAGTCAACAACCACCAGTTTTCAAACTTGAAATAGGACTTAACTGGTTCTCAATGATCTGATGTAACTCTCTGTAGGATTGACTGGTTAATTTTTCTAAACCTTACTTCCCATTCTTCTGATACTAGGAATCTATCCAGTCTAGCAGCAATATTGTGATCAACCCCTTTCTTCCATGTGGCTATCCCACATGGCTTTTTTATATGAGTTGAGTCAAAGAATTTCTTTTTCTAAATGGAAGTTTTCTACGGAGATTTATTCAGCCATTTACTTTGTCAATCAATGATGAAAAATTGTTGTTAATACCTTTATTTCTTTTCTCAGGTTGAATCACTGGGAGGTAGAAAAGATGGAGTTCCAGTGTTAAGACCGCTTAGTGTAGACGATTTTATTGAGTCAAAAGCAAAGGTAAATTATCTTAACTGGAAATTCTAATTGAAGGGCCTGAAATCTATGTTAAGGTAGATGTCGGGTATGTTCTCTCTATTATAAAGCAGGAGGATATCAATGTTGTGTGCAAAGTGTTATCAGCAGATATTGCTTAGCGCAATACATGCTGCAAACATTGTGTATCTGCTGATCTTATTTATTAGCTCTCCGTTCCCATCATGGATCTTAACCAATGGTTTGTAAAGTGACGACAAGATCATGAAGCTCTCTGTTAAGTTTTCTATAACTGTTTCATGTTCTCAATACTCAGGTGGGGCCATCAGTCGCATATGATGCAGCAAGCATGAATGAGCTGAGAAAATGGAATGATCAGTATGGTGAAGGTGGAAGCAGAAGAAAGTCTCCATTTGGCTTTTGAATCTTATATAACAGACGGAGGAGGTAGTTGGAATGTCCACAATTTGGCCCGTCACTCTGAATCAACAGATTACGTTGTCGTTACAATTGTTTATTTAGGTAGAACCATGAATGTGTAATTCTTTTAGCAGGTCTATCTTCTTTTTTTTTTTTGGTTACGGCAAATTCCAATGAGTGGCTTTTGCTGCATAAGGTTGGTTTAGTAATGTAGTACCAAAGCAGGCAGAGATAGGATAGGAACAGAGCCATAGAAGATACAGGCTTTAGAATGCCAATGTGTATTAACAAAAAGTTCAATTTTGTAATTCTTCCTCTATTATAAGGGGAAAAATTCAAATGCCAAAGGTCGTAAATGATTTTTTTCTGCTTTAGAATTTTAAGAAACAGCAGTTCTGAGTTTGCTAGATGAATCTTGGAAATGTATCAAATAAATAGGGAATACCAAGTTGAGCAAACCTTTTAAGATCATATTCAAAAATGGATTTGACCTAAAGCTTCAGGGTATGTCTGACCAAAGATTTTGATTCCAGTGGGGACAACTATGATCATGGTAGCTGTGGTGAAATAGGCATGGGTATTAACGTCTAAGCCCACAATAAATATATGATGAGCCCAAACAAGAAATCCAAGGCATATTCTTAAAAGGCGCCACTAGCTGGTGCAACAAGAGTTCATCAATATTTGGTAATTGAAATACACAACTTCAATGTTTGATTGAACATTAAGCAAACAAGTAGCAAGTGATGGTCTTTGTGTTGCTTCAATTTTTAAATTAATTTAAATCGTTTCGAAAATATTTGTTCATTCATTCTCCAATATTTCAGTAAGTTTTTATTTCCTTCATCAATAGTATTCCTGCAAGTAAATAAACATAAAGCTCGTTAATTTGTGAAGATTGTGATTGGCTAATCATTTGCTGAATAGCACCAAAAAGTTTGTGTAGCAGTCTTTTTAAGAATTTGCGATGATAAAGAAGGAAAGGCACCTCTAGTTGGTGCAACAGAGTTTATCAAGTCTTTGGTAATGGTCATATACTACTTTAGTATTTGAATGAACACTAAGCAAATAAGTAGCAAGAGATGGTCTTTATGTTGCTTCAATTTCTAAAGTAACGTAAATCGTTTCATTAAGTTATGTGCACCAAGAAATCAACAATAACGTAAATAATAGGAATAGAGAAAAAATATTTTTAAATTTTTTTAACTATTATTTAAGCATCTTTATATTAATTTTTTTTGTTTATATTATAACATTGAAATTCCAGCTATATAAATTAACATGCTAGAAATAGTTGGATAATATACCCCAACATTTTTTTAGTAGCATAGAAATTTTTTTCTAAAAATTGAATAAGATGAAAATCGGTATCCCAATCATCATATGTTATCATATCTTAAATAGAAGAAACATGTTGGTAGTAGACAATCAATGTTCAACAGATAAGATATCATATACTGAATTCCATCTAGTTGCAGCAACAAACATAATATCGTATACTGAATTCCATCTAGTTGCATCCTCTTCAGCAAATTTTCTAAAGGGTAATTCGTAAGATTAACAATGCATCCTAATTCTTTGCGTTTAGAGGTATTTGAGACTAAAAAACATAACCAAATGCAAATCAAATTTTGTCGAGAGTAGTGGCAAACAAAAAAGTCCATCTTGAACAACCAAATTATAAATATGACATGGACATTTAATATGAAATAATTTCGCGAAAGGTGGAGTTAATCTATTTATCAAAACTCCTACAACAGAATTGTTACTAGAAGCATTATCTAAAGTAACTATAATGATTTTGTTAGAAATTTCATAAAAATCATATTTTTTTAATTTGTTTAGAAATAAAAATATTTATGTGTCGGTAATCAACCAATTTATAACCAATAATGATTTTTTGCGTAGGCTAGTTGTTATCTATCCGATGACATGTAACTGTTAAGTAACCATAACCATTAATACTACGACCTGTCTGAAGCGATAGAAACTCTATAGTCTAAGTAGAAAAATAAACAACATAAATATTGTTAATAATCACCGAATTTAAAAATATTATTTCTAACAATTGTTCTAGGAAACCTTGAAAAATAGGATTATATGTTTCTTGTATGTAACGAATAAACTCGCTAGAAGAAGAAAAATTAAAAGGCAAACCCTCTACAACAACCATATTTTGTATATTTTCCTATCCATTTTTGTGTCATAACAGAGAAGACCTCCCGCCACAGGATTAATTTGTGGTTGTAAAGTATAAGAACCATGCCCGAATTGTGTAGGATTTGTTTCATAATGGGAACCCCCTCCCTTGCAAGCCAAACAACTTTGCGATGAATTTCCATATGCTTCTTTAAACCTCTTGTTCTATCATGATTAGATTTAATTTTAGAAGATAACCGTTGTTGACAAATTTTAAAAACAACTTTTCTATTAACCTTATCCTGCGCAAACTATTGCCAAAAAGTTGATTTTTTTTTTAACGTTCAATTGGTTGTCTAGTGGGAGGTAACAGAGCTCTAAACTAAGATCGATCCTGAGTTGGAGATGCAACAGTAAAACTAGTTGGTGTTTGATCTAAGTTATCATTCTCTTCTCCTTCATCCTCACTCAAATTTTCATAATCACCATATTGTGCTAGTGCTTCATGATCTAGAGATTGATAGCTAACACCAATATCGTGATAGACAAGTGTTTCATCTACGTGATTGAAGTCATCAATAAGGTTAGAATTACTAGATCTAGCATTATCCATAATCAATTTAGTACATATATTTTTTATCACTTTAGGAGCCATTTCTAATAATAAATAAAAAAATAAAAAATAAAAAATAAATAGCAACACAAGTATAACAAAAAATAAATGTGAAAATTAATAAAAGTTAGAACGAATGTACCAGAAGCTGAAGTATGATTGATGTTGTTGAAAGAAAATTACTCCAACTAGTAGTGTAGTGCCAAGAAACCGTATACGTTGATGCTTGAAATTTTTTACTAATACTAAAGTGCTAGAACGTAAATTGCAATTAGAGATATAGAGAGAAAGAGAATTAGAGAAATAGAAGAGTTTTATATGATAAATAAAAGAATAAAATGAGGTATTCATAGTTTTAAAATAGGGTCAAAATATAATTTAACAAAATTAGGGGTCAAAAAGTAATCGTCGACTAACGACAAAAAATGGCTAGATTAAAGAAAAAGTTAAGGGTACCAGTTTGGTACCGAACCGATACCAGTTCGGTACCTTAAGGATACCAACCAAATCGGTTCTAACAGTACTTTGACCAGTCCCCTCCCACACCCCTTCCTCTTAGCCCCAATCCCTTACCCTACCCTCCAACTGAACTTGGACGGAGAGGCAGCGGTATCGATATGAACCAGACCGGTTCCGAGTAATCCTCCCCCTTAGACAACCCTAGGCTAACTTTACAATTTCGTGTGGAATCTGCAATTTTTTTTATCGAGTTCCATATCAGATATAAAGATATTCCGAGGAGCATGGAAAAACAACTCAAAATTCACAAAAATCATAAGAATATTTATGGAGCGTAACAAGAAATCTTGTTTTCAATTTTCGTTAATCAAATTGTATATGATGAAAGTAAATGCTTTTTCTTTTGAAATTTCTTAATTCTTTCACAGTTTACCTAAAGATATTTTTCTCACCAATGGTAAAGCAGATCAAGTGCGTATGGACTATTGAGTTAAAATAACACAATTTCTAAACCAAACTCATTCAAAACAACAACAATAATATACCCAGTATATTTTCACATAAAGGATCTGGAGAGGATAGTGTCTACGCAGGCCTTACCTAGTGAAGGTAGAGAGGTTTACAATAGACCCTCGGCTCAGAAAAGTAGGGAGGAGAAAAAGAAGAAGAAGAAGAAGAAGAAGAAGAAGAGGGAGAAGAAAAGAAGCAGAAGGAGAAGAAAAAGATAACAACAGGAGAATACGATAACTGAAACAAACTAAACAACATGATGTAATATAAATCCGAGAAATAAGAAAGTACATGCGTGCTACTAATACTACCGGTAAGAAAGGGGGGAAACTCTCAAACTACCTCCTAGCCTTCTACCATAATCCTCGACCTCCACACCCTCCTATCAAGGGTTATGTCCTCAATGAGCTGAAGCCACGTCATGTCCTACTTATTCACCTCTCCCCGGTACTTCTTAGGTCTTCCTCGACCCCTTCTCAAACCCGTCATGGTCAACCTCTCACACCTCCTAACAGGAGCATCAATACTTCTCCTGTTAACATGCCCGAACCATCTCAACCTCGACTCCCGCATCTTGTCCTCCACAGATGCCACTCCCACTATGTTCCGAATAGCTTCATTCCTAATCGTATCCCTCCTAGTACACTCACACATCTATCATAACATCCCCATTTCTGCTACTTTCATCTTCTGCACATAGGAGCCCTTGACTGGCCAACACTCCGCCCGATACAGCATGATTGGTCGAACCACCACTCTGTAAAATTTACCTTAAGTTTTGGCTGCACATTCTTATCACATAGAACACCGGATGCAAGCCTCCACTTCATCCATCCCGCTCCAATACGATGTGTGACATCCTCGTTGATCTCCCCGTTACCATGTATAATCGATCTGAGATACTTGAAACTAATTCTCTTGGGAATGACTTGAGTATAGAGCTTCACATCCACGTCTGCTTCAAGGTCTCGTCACTAAATTTGCACGCCAAGTACTCTGTTTTGGTCCTGCTCAACTTGAAAAATTTAGACTCCAAAGTCTGTCTCTAAACCTCTAACCTCGCGTTAACCCCGCTTCGTGTCTCGTCTATCAACACAATATCATCTGCAAATAACATGCATCATGGCACCTCCCTTGGACGTGCCGCGTCAGCCCGTCCATTGCCATGGCAAATAAGAACGGGCTAAGAGTTGATCCCTGGTGCACCCCATCATAACTGAAAAATGTTTCGAGTTTCCTCCCACAGTCCTCACCTGAGTATTAGCACCATCGTACATATCCTTAATCATCCTAGTGTACGCTACCAAGATACCGCTAACTTCTAAGTACCTTCACTAAACTCATTCAAAAGTGGCACGGAATAATTCGTTAAGTTATGCCACAAAAAATCATCCCTTTTTAATTACATTGCACGCCAAAATGCCAACTACCTAGTGGTAGTTCCTCCCATAGCATCTTCCCTAAGTAACTGCATCATGCACTGTGGTGGATCGTTGATAACCATCAGCTCATCATCCCCATTTGCATCTTGTCCCTCCTTTGCTAGATAGTCTGCTGCCTTTTCTTTGCCTCCATGTTTTATATCACATTGCAATTCTCCATCGATTAGTGCACGGCAATCTCATAACAATGCCCCTGCTAGAGTTCGTTATACAACAATCTAACTCCTATGAAGACGGCTGTTATGCCCACAAAATTGAGCATTGCCCTAGCTTGTCTCTTACATCTTCACTTAGGACCATCTTCGCTTCTGATATGACCCTCAATCACAATGGAACTCTGAGTACCTGGCATCTATATTCATCTTGCAAAAAGTTTGCAAGAGAGTTGCAAGAGATAATTGGAAATTTTGCAGATTTAATTGAAACAGGAGGGCATGCTTTGTTTATCTCTAATGGATTGCATAAATCTAGCACAAGAGGTAGGGCAAAGGTGTTATTCTCTCCCTATATATGCCAAATGTAACAGCATTTTGATTATCACTCAACTCATTTCTTGATCTCTTGCAGCTACAAGTGTTGATGCAAAATGGTTTAAACTTTCATCACGAATCAAGAACAAACAAGGAAATCCGTGTACCCTCCAAACTAGCAAATTGAGCTTAGCATGTCCACTCACTGAACTCTGCCATCCAGTGTGTTTTTCTGAGAAATGTTTCTTGAACTCAGCTAAAAAATAGAACAAATCATCACCTAAAAAAATAAAAAAATAAAAACTTAAAAATCCAGATAGAAGAATCTTTTCTTTGGAAGGTGTGTGCAATTTAAACTGAAATGTATAACTAGAATTACGAAGTCCTGCCCAATAACTTTGAAAGCAGGCAATTTACTTCTTATAAATTTCCAAGGTTGCAACAGCATACAACCTTAAATTTAGAGCAAAAATTTGCTCAATCACTAATTACCTTAGTGTCACACTAATATGAGATGGGGGAAAAGAATGAGGCACTGGAAAAAATTGTTCAACAAACTTAGAGTCACTGTTAAATAATAGAATTGCTAGATTTTCCTGTCCAGCGGTGTTCTCTTCGTACAGTTCTCCATGGCACCTTGATTGCATACTAGAGAAGTGAAGAAAAACATTTAATAAACAGCAATTAACTAGCAAGTGAGTGCTTCAAGTTCAAAACACAGAACCAAGGTTCAAAATACCAAAAACATCCCTGATTATTTGTTAAATGAGAAACTATGCAAGTAATCTCCTATTGGAACTCTCTGTAACTTTGACTCGAGTTGGTCTCCAATGAAATCAAAGATAGATGAACAAAAGATTCAAATATAAGCTTCTCTCCCTTCTCTCTACCTTTTTCGTTGGACAAGTTTTCATTACTAACACCAAGTCTCTGTCGAAAGTATTTACGAGTTGTCTATATGACTCAACATGAGGCAAACATTGACATTTATCATATTTTTATCAGTAGTCTATACAACACCATATTTTCTGTTTACATCAAAATGATAAGTGAAATAAGAAAGATCTTTTCATGATTTCCACATCATTCTTATTACTGTGGGACATTCAATTTCTTTCAATCCATAAGCAACAAAAGACTTCCTTCTGCCTACATCTTTCTTCAAAATTTTTATATTCAGTTCTGGATACTGGGGGTTTCAAAAATATGGATAAAGTGGTATCACGGGAGGTGTGTCCAAGTCATGATGGCGAAAACTAAATATTAGTTATCATGTATCTGAACCAACAACTTGAATTATGTACATATTTTACTAACCCAAAAAGCTTCCTAGGGTATCTTTGTGGTCAAAATATTTGTTGAGAACAACAGCTCATCAGTAATAACAATGGAACAATTCATGATCTTTTCATAAGAGCTTTACAACTAAAATATCATACTAACTTATCTAGATTTGTCAGTAAATATATCATACCACCAGACCAAATGCCCTCACTTAAATGGAGCGCCAGTCAGGATTCATATAGCTGACACCAACTTTTTTGGATTGAGGCATAGTTGTTGTTTGTGAATATATCAATCGTTTTTTTATTATTTTGTGTCTTTGTCTTTCTGTGTGTTTGTGCATATGTACTAGGAATATGGATCTACAACACAACTGCAAGCAAGGAGTACCATACAAGTTTTCATGTTGAAATAGTCGTAAACTTGTACTCTGGCAGCACCAGGAGCTTCTTCCTGCATTCAATTATTTTGTCATCGGCGTGAAGATATAATAACATGACATGCCATAGAACTGGAAGAATTCATATTGTTCATGCTTGAGGCGCTAAAAAACCTGTTAGCATAGCTGCTTTTTTCTGCAATGCCAGTTTACACGTAGTTTTGAGTTTCAGATTTGTGAAGCCCTTAACGTGCCTCTAGCAGGGGATGGTGGACCTTGTATGCAATTCCAGCTTCGCCTTGGAAGTGAAGAAAACTTATGGAGGTGATATCTTCCAGTTCAGACCCTCAACTTCAACATCATGAGTGTAAATTAGTGCCTGGATCAGTGGCAGAATGGCAAGGAAGCCACCAGAATTCTCTGGTATACCTAAACTAGATTCACCAATAATCTCTGCACGAGCACTGGTAGTCCTTGAAACAATGAAAGCGGTTGTTATCTCTTACTATAATTTCTCTACCAGTAATGCCCGATATGAACTTTATTGCACTATGGCAATCCACACAAACCCTCAGATTTTTTGTTATCCTTATAGGGACTCCAGGAGGGATAGCAATGAGACCAAATGCAAGTGCAATCTTCTCACTATGGTACCAAACTTCTGATTCCTTTTCTTCTTCCTCTAAGTCATACAGAGCAAAATTCGTGTCAGCAGTATAACCTGCTGCTTTCATATCTCTCTTTAACTTGGCCAGCATTGCTTGAATCTCTGGGTATCTCTCATGAATTGTATCCTTTGCTTGGAAAATATGGACAGAATTCCTTACAGATATCCAACTGAATCCGGCCCCTTTGTTGATGCCCACATCCTTCATCTCCTTCCTGACGAGATTAGCCTCCTCCCACCTGCAGTTACCTCTTATGATAAATAGGTATTGGAGAACACCAAGCTTATATACCAATGACCATGGACAAACATTCAACTTGAATTCTGCAGATAGAAGTACCAATTTATAAAAAGGGACAAGCAATAGTCAAGCATGACAACCCCCCCCCCCCCNNCCCCACACCCTCTCCTTCCAAGCCAAAGTTAATAGTATAATAGTATTGATGAAAATGTGTAAATACTTTGGGTTCCCAAAACAGAAAGAGTGTCATAAATGAGAATAGAGGAAGAGATATTTCCTGAATCCAGCTGTCGTAGTAACACAGATAAAGAACTTTATTGGTCCTTCAAAGGGTTAACAGGTTTGGACTTAACAGTAAAATTTCATGCAATGTTTCAAAAACAAAGTTAAATATAGATTAACAGGCCCTCTGTTCTCCTAGGATAGCTTCACAGTTGTATGACAAGATAACAAGAACATAGATGGTCCCTTATCCCAAAAAAAAAAACAAGAACATAGATGGTCGAAAACAGAATAAACTAACAACACACTGTGGAGGAGCTTCGAATGTCAGTTTCTATACACATTAAGTTAGTAAAAAAGAAAGGACACAGACTGCGATTTGGTGAACTTTTTGCAGGCAATAAGATGTTCAAGAACTATCTTAGGGAAACAAAGAACTAAATGTCACCTTCCAGCAGCTGCAAACATATTTGAAAGAATAACATGGTTTCCAGAGTCCTTTGGATCAAGTTGAAACAAATTGTCAGCTGCAACCTTCCCTAGTTCAGGTTTTCCATAAACTCTACAAGCCCCTAAAAGAGCCCCCCAGACTGAAACTGTTGGTGGAACAGGCATTTTCTTGATAAACTCGTATGCACGCTCCACCAAACCAGCCCTTGCAAGCATATCCACTACACATGCATA